TCTGGCTCTTCTTGTCCTCTCTTCACTATATTCCTGACTGTCATCAGCTTTGGTTTCAGCAGTCCCAGAAACCGTCTTAACCACATAACCTTTGAAAGGCCCACACTCAGCACCCTGTGTCCTGTTGATACCTGTGTCCTCCTGCTGTAGGCTTTGGTCATTTTCTGTGTACTCCACATTTCTCCACTCCAAGAGCTGTCCTAACCAGCCTTGGCTCCCCCTACAGCCTCACCCAGGCTAGAGAGAAAGACTTGGCTTCTGTCCCTTGTCTCCTTGTCCCCCTGGACCTCTGTAAACCTTGGAACCTGGACCTTTCTCCATGTGTAGCCTCATCCTCACCAGGAGGGCCTGGACACACCTAGCCTTAGGAAGTGGGTGCCTCCCAGACATCCCTGTGTGGTACCCTGCCTTTGTGCTCCTACCTGGATTCAGAGAGTAGCTGCCATCAGGGACCTCCCTGCCCCGAGCATGTTTCAGCATGTTAGAACAGGCTCTGGCCTTGGCCTGCGTGAGTCAGTCATCCTGCCCCCAACCCCCTCAGGAACCTACAGGTCTGGAAAATCCCCCTCTCTGCTTGGCTCCTTCCTCACTGGTCCAGATTTTCCTCCAGCCCTCGCCTGAGGACTCCATTCCTCTGGGAGGAAGCTGGGCTCCTGGGAGGCCAGAGACCCGCTACAGGGCAGGAAGCCTGGGTTCTATTTCTGCCTCTGACCTTCTGGTTGCACACAGTCCTTCTTGGGACCTGAGGTACAGACTTCCCGGGCCCAGGCTGTTGCCAGCTTGGCACCCCCTGGGCCATTCAGGGAACAGGTCAGGTTGGGGATAGCCTTGGGCTTCTAGATTTTGCCCTCTGCTTTGGTCTCATGGCTAGCCTGGAAGTCCAGCCCAGCCCAGCCACCTTTCCTAATAAGCACAGGCCTTGCAACAGGGGCTAGCCCCACTATGATCCAGGCAAGGTCTTCCTGGCAGGCCTCAGTCCTCTCTCTGCCAGAGAGACCCTCTGTGTGTGCTGCCTTACCATCTCAGAAAGGCTCTGTCAGCTGAGATGCCCTGTGTGAGATGCATTGTGGCCTAGTTGGCTCTGTGAGCGGGAGACCCGGGGACTGCAGTGCTCAGTGGTAAGAGCTCAGGTGTGGGAACCAGATCACCAGGGTTCATCCCAGACTTCAGGGGTTCATTCCAGACTTCAGGGGTTCATCCCAGTTCCTGCAGCCGCAGCTGTTGAGCCAGCTGTCTCTGCTCCTGTTCCCTCTTTACAGTTTAGCACCTGCAGCCTGCTTCACATGTGCCTGGTGCTAAGGAAGTGCTCTGTGGGTGAATGCTGGCTCTACTGTCCCTGAGCAGAGCCCAGACTGGCTAGCTCATGCCCAAATCCCTTCTACAGCCAGGTCTTCAGCCCCGTCTGCTTTCTGGAGCCTCTTTCCCCAGGCCTCTATCTCCTGTTCCAGATGTGAAATGCAGCTAGCTGCCTTTGGCTCAGCAGCTTTTTGCAAATGAAGTCTCTGCCCTTCCTGTCTAAGTCTCTCACTGAGAGTCTTGGGCTGCCCCTGCGTCCTCAGACCCTGGGGAGGGAGCTGCAAGTAAAGTAAGAGCTGCTAGAATCTGAGTCTATCTACAACCTGGGTGTCTGAGGCTAGGGGACTTCTGACTCAGTGCTCCGCACTCTTCCCCTCTCAGCAGATGTGTGTTCCCAGCATGTTTTCCCTATTGAATCTCACTTTGCTATTTCCTGTCCGATCCAAGCCACTACTCCCTTCAGCCCCCACTCCTTCCTCCCTGGGGAAAGCTCAGGACCTAGCTAAGCACCAGGGCTTTCCTTTCCAGACAGCAGTGCATAAACGGTGCCAGGAGTCTGTGTGCCCGTGCTTGGCTCTCGTAGCCTTGCTTGTGTGGGTAGGGGGATGGTGTGACAGTGACACAGGGATTCTCCTTACCTAGAGAGGACTCAAGTATGTCCTTTTCAAGCCTTCTCTGCCCCAATCAGTGCTCCTGCGTCAACTCTAGCCTCATACTCCCCTTGAGTTAGTCAGAACCTGCTCAAGACCTACCATCTGGCCACCTCTACTCCCAGGCAGGGAAGATGACAGAGCCTCTGGTCTTGTTCTTACCCTGGGGCTGTCAGAGTCTCCTGGGCATTCATAGCTACATCAGACTTGAGATAAGAACCAGCAGCAGGGACCAAGAATCAGCCCTGGAGGATTTTTTTGTTGTTGCTTTTTGGTATTGCTGGGAATCAAATCCAGGGTCTTGCACAAGGCAAACACTCTGTCCATGAACCACTGAGGTATCTGAAACCCTTGGGTTTTTGTTGTTGTTGTTGTTTTTGAGATAAGGTCTCAGTAAGGTCCAAGTTGATTTTGAAGTTGCCTTTGCCTCCGGGGTGTTAGGATTACAGCGGGTGCCACTGTGCTCAGCTCCCAGTCTTTAGGTGCTGAAGCCACACACCTGCCTGGGGGACATGGCCCACAAGTGCTCTGGCCACCACTTTGGACAGGGATGAGTGCCTGTGGGACCAGGAGGTGGCACTGCTCTTTGGCCATGGGGACTGGCTAGTGGGTTGTGGCAGGTGGCAGGTGTGGGAGTACAGGCCTTACTCAAGTCTTAGCAGTCCTGCAAACATAAAGTAACGAAGTGGTGCTCAGCCCCTAAACCCAGGAGCTCACAGCCTAGTAGGGACGTTGGGTTGCTGGGAGGAGATGAGGGGAGGATGGGACAGACAAACACACACACACGCACACGCACGCCATCTCCTGACGCACTGGAATCAGAGCGGCTGTCCCTCATCCACTCGTTCAAGCATTGATTTGAGCACATGCAGTGAAATCATGGAGCTGAACCAGGTACTGTCCCTGCCTCCAGGGTGCTTCTATCCAGTGGAGTCATAGGCAGTCACAGTGTGAGCCCAGCAGGGCCCAGGACCTGGCCAGGCAGAAGGTGGCTGTGAAGGGCAGGGAATCAGGATCATCTCCCCAGGACTTCCTTTCTTGTCCTCCTTATTGATGCTCAGGTAATTCAGTAAAACGGACCCACTTCAAGCATAGAGGCCAATAATGAGGATGAGATGGCTATGCTGGATTATCACCCCAAAGCTTGTCTTGTGCCCCTTTCCACCCCACTGCCTTGCTCATAGCCCAGGCAACTGTTGATCTTTCCTTCTGTCACTATGCTTGGGACTCCCCCTTACCATGAAGTTCCATAAGTGAATACACATGATATGTGGTCGTTGGCATCTAGTGGCTGTCACTCTGACATGGCCTCACGTAACCCAGGCTGACCCCCAGCTTGCTTGCTATGTAGCTAAGTATGATCTTGAACTCCTGATCCTCCTGCCTTCACCTCCCAAGTGCTGGGATTACAGGTGCCTGCCTGGTTCCCTTTGCCTTTTCAGTACCCATCAGTTAGAGGGCCTGAGGAGAGACGTGGAGGGTAAGAGTTGGTCCCAGAAACAAGAGGAGGAAGAATATCATGGTAGTGGCCCTGCAGCCGCAGGCATGAGGAACATGGGCTGCATGGAGTTAGGGTCTCCCCTCAGCTTGGGCTTCATGACCTGGTACAGTCCATTGGTTTTCACTGGGAGCTGAGTTCCCTCTGTCCAGACCTGACTGCTCAGATACTTCTGAGTACCGGCAGTGCCTGAGGCCCTGGACATCTGGACTGTTTGGGGGCCTTTGAATCTTGCATTCCTGTGCCTGGGGACTCGAGTTCATGGGTGTTTTCCCCCTCAGTTACCTGGATGTCAACATTGGAAACATCTTGATATTATCCAAGAAGAAACAAGCATTCACTGCCCACAGCCATGTCTGGGAAAAGCTTGGGTTATAGGTGTCAGGGCCTCTGTGCAGGGCCCTTCAGGCTCTCCTAGGACAGATGCCTCAGGCCAAGCTGTGCTGGGCTCTGTGTTAGCCTGAGGTCATGGGCAGTTGACTCTATGATAAGCAGCGGAACATACTGTCTGCAGCCAGGCTTCAAGACCAGATCAGGCAGAGGACCTGTGGTAAGCAGCAGTCCGATTGGTTCCCTTCACTTTTTTTTTTTTGGTCTTTTTGAGACAGGGTCTCCCTGTAGCCCCAGCTGTCCTAGAACTCACTGTGTAGACCAGGCTGGCCTCCAACTCACAGAGATCGGTCTGCCTCTGCCTCCCAAGTGCAGAGATCAAAGGTGTGCACCACCAAGCCCAGCATCTTCACTTCTTTAAAAAAAAAAAAAAAAATTAGCCGGGCGTGGTGGTGCACGCCTTAAGTCCCAGCACTTGGGAGGCAGAGGCAGGCGGGTATCTGTGAGTTCAGGGCCAGCCTGGTCTACATAGTGAGTTCCAAGACAGCTGAGGCTACAGGGAGACCCTGTCTCAAAAAGAACCCCCCCAAATTATTTATTTATCTTTATTTTCTGTGTATGAGTATGTTTCTTGCATGTAAGTGCACTACATGCATACAGTGCCCTCAGAGACCAGAAGAAGGCATCAGATCTCCTGGAACTAGAATTTTGGATGGTTGTTAGCTGCTGGGAACCAAACCCAGGTTGTCTGCAAGAGCAGCTAATGTTCTTAATCGCTGAGCCACCTCTCCAGCCCCAGGCTCCTTTCATTTCTGTGTCCCCTTCATATTTACACTGGCCGCCCTTCTACCTGTGCATGTCTCTTGTCCCTGCTAGCCTAGGTTGTTCCTTACCTGTCTGTGTCCCTTGCCTCCTTTCATGTCTTAGATGTCCCTTGCATTCCCCAAAGATAAAGAAGCCACCATCCTTTACCACTTCACTTTACTGTCAGCTGTATTTGAAGATTTGGTCAGAATTTGCACAGTTGGATTCTGAGGGGTTGATGGGGTTTGAGGAAGCTGAATCACAATGGCTCAGCCTTCTCCTGCCTCTCTTAGGCACGCTGAGCCTAACTTAACCCTGTGAGAACTTTGGGTTGCAATGCTGGGTCCCCTCTGAAGTAAGAAGAGCTCTGGAATTTGGCAGTTAACCGGAGAGGGTGACTCAGAGACTGTCATCTCCCATAGGTGACTCACAGTTTGAGGGCCTATGATGGCCTCTCTCTGCCTGAAGACACAGAGACTGTCACAATGGGCCAGGTTGGCTGGACCTACACGTACCTTTCTGATGATGAGGACCTGCTGGCCGATGATGCGTCAGGAGGTAAGTCAGGATTCCCCTCCTGGGGATGGAGTGGTGTCTGGCACAGTTCTGGTTTTCCCCACTGGAGCTTCACAAGACCCTGAGAAAGTCATCCCAGGTGGGGCCTCAAGAGATGAACCATAAATTGAATGTGGTAGCACATACCTGTAATTCTAGCACCTGGGAGGTAGAGGCAGAGGATCGGGCGTGCACCACCACACTTGGCAGCAAATTGTCCTTTGACTTAGACACACATACATATATAAGCAAAACAAACAAATAAATAAATGTAAAACAAATTATAAGTAAAAAAGGTGGGCATTTGTGTCCTGTGACCCTAGCATTCTTCACTTGTAATCTCTGTGACCTCCTCTCTGCAGCCTGGGACTGTCAGGACCAGCAGGGAAGAAAGATGGCTGGCAATGCATAATAGGGGATATTTCCTATCCCTGTACCCCACCTTCTCCTTGCCCCCACTTGGAGATCAGGCTGATCTGATTCCTCTGCCCAGAATTAAGTCCAAGCTGACTATAGGAGAGGGGTTAAGCATTCTGTGTTCATATGACCCTTCACTTCTGGGCCAGGGACCTACAACAGTGCCTGGTACCCCATACGAACACAATGAATCTAAGTTTCTCTTTTGCTTGCAGATGGCCTGGGCAGTGGAGACCTAGGCAGCGGAGACTTCCAGATGGGTAAGTGGCTGAGGGAAGTTCCAGAGCAGACCTCCTGGTTACAGAGGCCCCTATCTCTAAGATGAAGGTCCCCAGGGCTGCTTGGATTGCCCTGGGCGTTCCCTTCTGGGATCAGGGGAGTGGCTTACTTGCTAAGTGGCAGTTGTTTGGATTGATACGAAAGTGCCTGCAATGTTGGGGATGGCCAAATTTGGTGTTTGTCTGTGTCATTGGCACAAGGTTCAAGGCAGGGGGCAAAAACCAACCAGCATTCGTTGTTCAGAGTAGGTTGGGTGTCTCCAGGGCTGAGGTATTTCCCCTCAGCTGCTGAAGAGGGAACATCTGAATGTAAGAACTTGGCTTCCCACCTGGGCCACTGCAGGCAGGAGGGCTGACCCATGGCAGCCTGGCCAACTGTGAACTGTGCCCTCACAGCACCTGGACCTGACTGCTGCCTCAAGTTTTCCCACAAGTAGATCTATATAGGGCCACAGGAAGCCTGGCACCCAGCTGGGGTTGGGAACGGGAATGTCAGGTGGCTTTATGAACATAAGCCATATCCCAGAGTGGCCCATGCTGATGCATCCTGGGAATGTCTCCTACCGAGACTCTGGTCTGATCCACCTGTCCCTCTGGAGCACCTGTGTCCCACCAGGGGGATGCCCTCTGCTGTGCTCCCTCTGCATACTCCTTGTCAGCCACTTCTTTCCTGAGATGCAGGTGTGAAGGTAGCTGAGGCCAGAGGTAAAGGAGGGGAGGAGGGACAAGAAACAGATACTGGGCAGGCACAAGCCCAAGGCCTCCAGCCCCAACCCTGTACAACTGGCTATGCTTGGGACTCAGCCTGGGAGGCACAGTTGTGTCTCCTGATGCCCAAGGTCTTAGTATGCACCATATGAGCTTCCCAGGGGCAGTATCCTCATTGTGTTGGCAAGGAAGACTGCCCTGACTCTGACAGGGTCGTGCCTCGATGTTGCCCCTTGCCCAGGCCCCAGCTCTGCTGTACTCCTAGTTCCCTTCCAGCTGTTCTGTCATCCCCCACCTCTCCCCAATACCACCCTTCCCCCGCCATCTTCTCCCTACCTCCCTTCCACTCTTGGGTCCCAATCTGGCCACTTCCTGTCTCCCCGTTTCTCACATCTCTGTGAGAACTTTGCTTCCTTGGCTTCCCAACTGGGCCTCTATCCCCATCTCTTCCCTCTCCCTTTCCTCCCCATCTTTGCCACTGTCGAGACATTCTCTGCTCCCCCAACTCTGCTTTCTGTATGTGTCTCCCCCATTGTCTCTGGTTCTGTCTCCCTTGCTGTCCCTGCCCTTTCTCCCTCCGTTTATCACTGTTCTGTAGCAGACCTCCTTCTAGCTCAGCCTTAACATTCAATCCTTTTTCTTCTTGTGCTCCTCTACCTAGCCCACCTTGGAGGCTAGAGACACTTCCCTGGAGAGCTGAGGCCAGGCCAAACCCCATGCCTCCTCACGTGGACTCCAGATTAGAACACAGAGCAAGTACCCTACTGAGCTTCCCCCAGTGGTACTGGTTGGGCCAGGATGGAGCAGCACCCCTTCATGGAGCAAGGCATTAGAGCCGGGAGGAGGCTTGTCTCAACCTCCAGGCAGGCCAGTCTCCAGCCCACCCAAGGGACCCTAGAGACACATCCCAGTCATGGTGGTAGCCCTCGGTACCTCAGTGTTCCACAGAGCCCCACCTATCCAGCACCTACTTGGTCTGGATGCTGAGCAGGGATGTGAGTTAGGAGTTGGGGTGGTCCAGTCCGGCTTAGGGATGTGTGTCTCCCACCTACATCAAGATCCTCTGGGCCTTCCTCCACTCCAGCTTCTGGTCTCGAGTGAGTGCTCTAGCTAGGGGTCAGGAGACCAGCAGGGAGAGGCCTGGAGTCCCCTCCCAATGCAGCCTCATAACTTCCAACTGTCCCAGCCCCTCTGCTTTGGGCAGGTCTCCCTCCTGCCTCAGCCCATGGACATAGCACAAACTGATGGTCCAGGGTGCTTGCCCTGGCCTGCCTCTGCTCTGAGACAAGGAAAGGGGTCAGGCTGGAAGGTTCCAGCCCTTCCCAGGCCCCGGTAGAAAGGGGCTTTGTGGTGTTCTAGCCCCCTCTTTGGGAGCAGGCACATTCCTGGACAGAGGCCCGGCCTCCTCACCCACACTGGGCCTGTGGGCTGAGGCCAGGGGCCGAGTGGGGGCTCTCAATAGGCCTCTGTACCAGCTCACAAGAGGCCTCTGTGGTGGAGCTCATGGCCCCACACTGCCCACAGAGCCCCACCTACCCAGCACTCAGTCCCAGCCTAACCATTGACTGCAGTTCAGAGCAGACATGCAAGTACCCCCTCTCGGAATAGGAGTCCACTTTTGCACCTGGCCTGGATACCTAAAGACCCTCTTAGCCTGAGCGACAGAGGAGAGAATACCCTGGCTTAGGGTGTGCACTTCTGAGCCTAAAGAACAGAGAGAATAAAGGGGAAGGTGCTCCCTTCCGTCATCTAGCACTGGCCAGCTGCCTCCTGTGCTCATTTTGGCCTCAGGACCTTCCCACTTGCTGTGCCTCTGCCTGAAATGTTCTTCTCACACACACTGCCCATGGCTTACTCCCTCCCTTCAAAGAGAGGCCTTCTCTGCATGCCCCAACTCTGCCCCAGCAGGCAGTCTCCCCAGCCCACACTCCCTGTAGTCTACACATTTTTACCCATTTGGTTTATTTCCTTTTCCCCCCAATTTGAAAGTGATCTCCCTGGGATGGAACTTTACATTTGTTGGGTTCCTTGCTGTACCCCATGCCCTAGAGCACCATGTGGGACACAGTAGTCCCAACACACCGCAAGTTTCAGGAGTGCCTTTTTTTGCCCAGGGCCATTTCTGGGGCTTGCCCTGAAGACCAGAGCTAATAATTACCACCAACTTACTCCCTTGCTATGTATAGAACCCTCACCCCTGGGAGTGGGTACTGTTGTCCTCAGGTTATAGCTAACAGGCTGTCAGTGGGCATCCTGTCCCAGAAGTTAGGCTGCTAACTGACCACTGTGCTGCCCTGTCTCCATACAGCTATAGTACATAATGGATTGCACCTACTCTGTCAGACTGAACACTGTGAGCAGCACTTTTTTTTTTTTTTTTCCAGAGCTGAGGACCGAACCTAGGGCCTTGTGCTTGCTAGGCAAGCGTTCTACCACTGAGCTAAATCCCCAACCCCAAGCAGCACTTTAGACTCCTTTGTAACTCTCGTTAACTTGGTATTTATAATTTCTACTTAAACTCATGAGCATTCTCAAACTGAACACACAAAAATATCCTATCCATGATACGTGCTTAAGAAATTATTAGGGGGGCTCTGGAGAGATGGCTCAGTGGTTAAGAGCACTGACTGCTCTTGCAGAGGACCTGGGTTTAAATCCCACCCACATGATGGCTAACAACTGTCTGTAGCTCCAGTTCCAGGGGATCTGGTACCTTCTTCTGACCTCTGTGGGCATTGCATGGCACGGGTGCACTTACATACATGCAGGCAAAACACTTATACACATAAAATAAAAATAATTAAAAAAATTTTTTTTGAAGAAATTACTGGCTGGGCATGGTGGCACACACCTTTAATCCTAGCACTTGGGAGGCAGAGGCAGGCAGATCTTTTTGAGTTCAAGGCCAGCCTGGTCTACATAGTGAGTTCCACAACAGCTGGGGCTACAAGGAGACCCTGTCTCAATAAAAGACAAAAAAAAAAAAAGAAAAAGAAAAAAATTATTAGGGGATGTGTAGGCGATCTGGCTACAACATATGTCACCCCATTGATTGCCAGGGTTAATTTAGCTTATCTGGCCAGCTAGGTGGGTGTCTCCGTCCTCCCTCAACACTCCACGTGCATACCCTCCTGAAGCTGTGTACTTGGTTGAAGAGGATGACCTTCCTGATAGAGGAGGACTGGTTTTTGGTCTAAGCAAGCTCTCAAGAAATTATTAGGAAGGGCAGTTGGAGATGTAGCTCAGTTGATAGAATGCTTGCCTAGGATCCCAGTACCCTGTAAACTGGGTGTGGTGGCCTACATCTCTAATCCCATACTCTGGAGGTAGAGGCAGGAGGATCATCAGTTCAAGGCCATCCTTGACTATATAGCAACTGTGAGCCAGGCCTAAGCTACATGAGACCCTATCTCCAATAATAAAATTAAATTAAAAAGTTCAGAGCTGGGCGTGGTGGCGCATGCCTTTAACCCAGCACCCGGGAGGCAGAAGCAGGCGGATCTCTGTGAGTTCAAGGCCAGCCTGGTCTACATAGTTCCAGGACAGCTGGGGCTACAGGGAGACCCTGTCTCAAAAAGACCAAAAAAAAATTAAAAAGTTCATGGCCAGCTGGGCATGGTGGTGCACGCCTTTAATCCCAGCACTCGGGAGGCAGAGGCAGGCAGATCTTTGTGAGTTTGAGGTCAGCCTGGTCTACATAGTGAGTTCCAGGACCTCTGGAGCTACAAGGAGACCCTGTCTCAAAAAGACAAAAAAAAAAAAAAATGTTCATGGCCAACCTTAGCTACATATTAACACTAGCCCAAGATTTCAGACCCTGTCTAAAAATAATGATAATAACAGACACTGGGGAGATGGCTCAGTTTTGTAAGAGCATTTGCTTCCTAAGCATTAGGACCTGAGTTCAAATCTCCAGAATCTATGTTTAAAATGGCATAGCCACAGGGTCCTGTAACCCCAGTGCTGTGAGGGACAGAGACAGGATCACTGGGACTTTCTGTCTGTCAGCTTAGCTTCAGGTTCATTGAGAGATCCTACTGCAAGGAAATAAGGTGGAGGATGATAGAGCAGGATGCTTGCTGTTCATCTCTAGCCTCCATGTGTTCATGGGCATGTGCCCCGTACGTCCCCAAGCGTATGCATAGTAAGAGAAGTAATGGTTGGGTTGGGAGTGTGTGTGTTCTTATGTGTACACATACCATTCTCTGTGTAATGCAGTTATATGGCACAGGTTGATTTGGTCATTATCTGGCATCTACTATCTGCCAGACTCCATGTATGTATGTATGTGTACGTGTGTGTGTGTGTGTGTGTGTGTGTGTGTATGACTCTGGACTGGAAAGATGGCTTAATGGTTAAGAACACTGGCTGCTTTTGCAGAGGACCCAGGTTCGGTTCCCAGCACCCATGTGGTGACTAACAACTATCCATAAATCCAGTTCCAGGGGACCCAACACCCCTTTCTGACCTCTGTGGGCATTGCATGACACAGGCGCACTTACATGCAGGCATTACTAGACATAAAATAAAAATAATATATTTTAGGGGGCTAGAGAGATAGCTCAACAGGTAAAAGCACTGACTGCTCTGCTAGATTTGATTCCTAGCATCTACATGGTGGCTCACAGCCATTCCTAACTCCAGTTCCAGGGGAGCCAATGCCCTCTTCTGACCTCCAAGGACATTGCCTGAGATGGGTACACTTACACACATGCAGGCAATACACTCTTACACATAAAATAAAAAGAATAAATTAAATATTTTAAAATATATGACTCAGCCGGGCGTGGTGGTGCATGCCTTTAATCCCAGCACTGGGGAGGCAGAGGCAGGCGGATCTCTGTGAGTTCAAGGCCAGCCTGGTCTACGTAGTGAATTCCAGGACAGCTGGGGCTACAGGGAGACCCTGTCTCAAAAAGACCAAAAATATAAAAATAAATAAATTAATAAATAAACAAATAAATAAATAAATAAAAATATATGACTCATTGCTACTCAGTCTAATCCATGGGGCTTGTTGTTGTTGTTGTTGTTTTGTTTTGTTTGTTTTGTTTTTGAGACAGGGTCTCCCTGTAGCTCCAGCTGGCCTGGAATTCACTATGTAGACCAGGCTGGCCTTGAAATCATGGAGATCCACCTGCCTCTGCCTCCTGCTGGGACTACAGGTGTGCACCACCAAACCCAGCTTAATCCATGTTTCTAACTGAAGAACATTGTGCTACTCAGCCTTCTATCACTATGACAAAGTACCCAAGAATCTCCACTTATAAGGAAGAAAGGTTCATTTTGGCTCACAGTCCTTAACCCCTTAGCTCTGCTGCCTTGGGCATGTGCTGTGCTGGCACAGTTCACCATGGTGGAAGAATGTGGCAGAGGAGGCTGGTTCACCTAATGGTACCTGGGAGGCAAAGGGCCCAGAGTCCCAATATCCCTTTCAAGAGCAGACTCCCCTTCCAAATGACCTAACTTCCACCCATTAGGTACTACCTCTTAAAAGTTCCAGTACCTTCTAGTAGTGTTACAAACTGGCTACCAAGCCTTCAGCATGTGGGCCTTTGGGGCACATTCAAGATCCAGACTCTAGCCAATGTGAGATTCAGTGGCTCTAAACTGTCTTGTATATGGTAGGTGCTTAAGGAAACAATAGTTGCCTGTTATATTCACACCAGGATGATATGAATTTATTTGGGCACTGGCTGTGTCAGGCACCCTGAAGGTACTGGGGTCATGGGGTCGGTGGGATCCAAAGTGCCCTCATGGAGTTCCTGGTCTGGGGAAGCAGAGTGACAAGTGACCACAACTCTCATTCCAAGTACTGGTTCCACAGGGATAAAGCTGCACACAGGGAGCAGTGTGCGTAAGCCCAGCATCCTTTAATCCTCACAACAGCCGGGGGTGGGGATCAATGCAGTTGACACCCTCACCCCCTTTTACCAAGGGGGAAAAAGAAATTCATTGATGTAGGTCAGTGTATGAGGTGTCTGACTTGGAACTTGGTAGTTGGTGTACTGCTCATGTGGCCCTGGTGTAAGCGGCAGGATAGATGTGAGATGAAAGGTTCTCAGTAGGAAAAACAGAGGCATTGTGGGAGCCCAGAGGAAGGCCTCAGAGCAACCAGGGCAGCTGAGTCAAGAGGGAGTAGGAACTAGTGGGGGAAGGCTGGCGAAACACATCACTGTACCTGAGTAATCCCTGTGTTGGGCCAGTGTGCTGCAAGCCACCTCTTCATGTCCAGTCTACTCTGAGCATTGAGTCTTCCCTTCTGCACTGTCATTTGGTTTCTAGATCAGATATCTTTTCTTGCTAGTTGAACTCCTCACTCACGCTGGGGCCTCAGCTTTGCACTCTGGGTAGAACTGCCAGGCCACTGTAGCCTGTGTGAGAGCCCAGCACCCCATTTTCAGCCCTTCCAAACTGGGCCCTTTACTGTGATGCTCAACCTTCTCTTCCATAGTGTATTTCCGGGCCCTGGTAAATTTCACTCGGTCCATTGAGTTCAGCCCTCAGCTGGAGGATGCAGGCTCCAAGGAGTTCCGAGAGGTGTCAGAGGCCGTGGTGGATAAGGTACACTGGAGGGGATCCTTGGGAGGTTGGGGAGCTCCCCAGGTATGGCAGGGTAGGACTGGGATATGTGGGAGGCATCTGATGGTAGTGTGTCCCCACAGCTGGAGTCAGAGTATTTGAAGATCGCCGGAGACCAGATTGTCAGTGTGGTGTTTATCAAGTGAGAAGGGTCCCTGGGGATGGGAGGGGTGGGGGCAACCAGGAGGGGCCATGGATGGGAAAGAGCCAGGTACAGAGAGACAGGCAGGGAAGGCTTGGTGGGATGAATCATTCTTTGTGAGGATTCAGGGATCACAGGCAAGACTGCCTGCATCAGAAATGGCCCAGTGCTGGGTACAGGCTGCCTGGGAATGGGCCTAGACATCAGGGAAGGTATGCAAAATACAGGCCTCTTTCTCCCCAGGGAGCTGGATGGCTGGGTCTTTGTAGAGCTGGATGTGGGCTCAGAAGGGAACGCAGATGGAGCTCAGATTCAGGAGGTGCTGCACACGGTGGTCTCCAGGGGCTCCATCGGCCCCTATGTCATCTCCCCCCGGGGTTTTCAGTTCCGACGCCTGGGCACAGGTGAGCCTATCCTGCAGACTGGGGCCATTCTTCCAGGTCCCCAGTCCATGTTTCTACCATGGACTCTGCTAACTTTGACTTGCATACCACTGGAGACAGGGAGTTCACTATCTCCTGAGCCTCCCATCAGTCTTTACAGTTTCAACTTGAGTAGAGCCAAACTGCTTCCTTTAACAAGCACCCATGAGGCCCGCCCAGGTTCTACTGTATTCTTACAGACCTCTGTACAAGAGACTTGCATTCAGGCATTCAGTAAAACCAACAGTTGTGGGACTGGGAGATGGCTCAGTGGGTGAAATACTTGCCATGCCAGTTTGAAGACTGGAGCTCAAGATCCCCAGCAACTGTATAAATGCCAGGAGGGCATGGCAGCCTCCCTGTAACCTCAGCTCTTAGGAGGCAGAGATGAGGGATCCCCAGAGCAACTAGCTAGCAAGACTAACCAAATCAGCAAACTCTGGACTCAAGTGAGAGACCATGCCTCATATAAAAGTTGGCAATTGCCGGGCGTGGTGGCACATGCCTTTAATCCCAGCACTTGGGAGGCAGAGGTAGGCGGATCTTTGTGAGTTCGAGGCCAGCCTGGTCTACAGCCAGGACAGCTGGGGCTACAGGGAGACCCTGTCTCAAAAAGACAAAAGACAAAAAAAAAAAATGGAGGAGGATATCTGATGTCAGCTTCAAGCCTCTACACCCACACACGTACATGTACATGTGCGCATACACACACACACACACACACACACACGCACACACACACACACACAATACCAAGTGAGCACAGGCCTGGTACTAAGGCCCTAATATGCAGCTCCCTGCTGGGACTTCCTGACAAATTCAACGGAGTGTTGCTACTGATTTCAAGATGTGGAAACTGATGCTCTGAAAGGAAAGCAGCCATCCACTCTGATGCAAATCAGACCCGGTGTGGGTACTGCTCTTGCCAGAACCCAGGATGGGTAAAAAGAAGAGAGACAGGCTCAGAGAAAACAGGAAACTGGCCTAAAGCCACATAGCTGTTAGATGGAGAGGCTCAGCCAGGTCGTCAGGGCTGGCCTAGGATCCCTGTTGTTCTGCCCGCTTTGTCGTTTCTTCTCTAGACTAGTTCTGGTTCATTCCTCACAAGCTGTGGTACTCAGTCCATCTCCATCTCAGCTTCCTTGCTGAGCATGCTCTTACCTGTAACTTATGTGCCTTTGACTTAGTGGAGCCCCAAACAGGACAAATTCCATCCTGTGTCCATGGTGTCTAGTCCAATCAAGAAAAAACAAACAAACAAAATAACTAGTGAGCTACTTCCTCCCTCCCTTTTACTGCACATAAACCTCCATTAATGTATCCAAAAATCAAACTTGCTCTGCTGGGTCCTCAGGCCCAGTTCTAAATGTTGCTAGGGGTCCAGACCTCCGCTCCTACCTTTGAGTGAGTCCTCCCAACTAGTGTGGTGGCAGACTTGGTTTAACCCTCAGCTTCCAGGTCCCAGGTGGGATGGTTGCTGACTACAGCTTCCTTTCCAGCACAGACCCCCCCGCTGCCCCCAGCTGCTGTGGGGGTCGCAGTGACATCAGGTGAGCATGTGAGCCTGGCCAATGTCCTGGGGTTCCTAGAGAACCTTCTGGTTGCAAGGACAGAAAGAGCAAAGGCCAGATGGCTTGGCCCAGCCTGAAGGCTAGCTACTGTCACTGTTCCGTTGTCCTCGCCTGGCCAGGCTGTGGTCTGCACGTGTGTGGCATGGTAGCAGCATGTGTGTGGCATGTCACCTGTGTGAAGGTCCACGTAAGGGGTGGTTAAGGCCACTGGCACATGTTCCGTGGGTGCGCCCACCTGGTGCTTCTTGCTCTTGCTGTCTACCACAGTGGCCTGAAACAGGGCACCAGAGCCACGCTTACCAAGCATTGCCTGTGCTCCCTGTCACAGCCCCAGCTTCCTTAACCTGCTGCCTGACTCCTTCCTACTCTCCACAGTGCCCCAGTTCCCAAGAGTCTGCACTGAGACCGAGTTTGCTTGCCACAGCTACAATGAGTGTGTGGCCCTGGAGTACCGCTGTGACCGGCGGCCTGACTGCAGGGATATGTCTGATGAGCTCAATTGCGGTGAGGGACTATGGGGGACCATGGTGGTCTGCCCAGGGACAAGGCTACAACTGAGTCTCTGAGAGTGCAAGGGGTTGGTACAGCAGAGAGGTCTGGAGAGGGTAGGGACAGAGAGAAAGTGGCGGCAGAGGCATGGCAAGGGGTGGATTCCAGGGAGCACTGGGTACTGTGGGGCAAGAAGTGAGAGCCATCCCTCCACTAAGCATCAAGGAATCCTGCCCACAGAAGATCTGGTCCCGGAACTTGGCTCCTTGCCACCTGCTGTGGTAAAGACGTCACCTCTACCACTCTGGCCAGAGGCAGCCACCACACGGCAGCCACCATTCACGCCTGGGCCTCAGCCTCTGTTACCCAGTGTTGGTGAACTCATACCCTGTGGACCCCAGGAGGCTGCATGCCACAGTGGCCACTGCATCCCCAAAGAGTACCTCTGTGATGGACAGGAGGACTGCAGAGATGGCAGCGATGAACTGGGCTGTGGTGAGCACCAGATGGGATGGGAGAACAGGGACTGGGCTCTGGTCAGCAGAGGGCCATTGTGAACTCCTGCCTGGTTTACACAGGGCCTCCTCCACCCTGTGAGCCTAATGAGTTCCCCTGCAGAAATGGGCATTGTGCCCTCAAGCTGTGGCGCTGTGATGGTGACTTTGACTGTGAGGACCACACAGATGAGGACAACTGCCGTGAGTGCCCCTGTCCTGTCAGGCTATGTATTTCTGTCCCCTTCTTAAACAGGTGTGCTGGTCTCTCTGGTCACTAGGGACTTTGGAGACAAACATCAATGTTCCTTGTGACTGGAGCCTGCAAGTCACTGGGTCTAAACCACTTTGGAACAGCACATAGACCATGTCTCTGTGGCTCCCCTGTATTTTGGTGAACATTAGTCTTTTTTTTGTTCCTGTGTTGGTGTGAGGGTCAGATGAATGACTAAGAGAGCTGGATATATGGGTCTCTGTAATGATGGTGTCCTGGATGGATATAGGAGTCATAGTCCTATCCATGGGCTGCCTAGTAACAGAATGCCCCAAACCTTGACACTTTATAAGCTATTATTGGGCTGGAGAGATGGCTCAGAGGTTAAGAGCACTGGTTGCTCTTGCAGAAGACCCAGGTTCAGTTCCTAGTACCCATATGGTGGCTAATAATTATCTATAATTCTAGTTCCAGAGGATCTGACACCCTCTTCTGGCCTCCGTGGGCACTGCATGACAGAGGTGCACTTACATTCTTTCAGGCAAATCATCATACACATAAAATAAAAATAACTAAATATATAAAAATAAATCTATTGTATTTTGCTCCATTCTGGAGACTGTGAAGTCCAAGATTAGGGACTGCATCTGGTGAGGGCAGATCACCAAATGTAGCTGCATCTAAATATAGCAGAAAGCATCACATTGGCAAAAAGAATGAGGGGCAGACCAAACCATTGGGAACCTGCTCCTGTGGCAGCAGCATTAATCCACATGTGAGGCACAACTCTGGGAACCTAAACATCTCTTAAAGATCCTGCCTCTCAATGATTGCATTAGGGATTAAATTTCCAATACATGAATGTTGGGGGACCTGTCCAAACCATAGTGTGGTCATAGAGATTGTTCAACTAAAGCTGCTTCTGAGCTATTTGTTTCTCTACTAGCTCTTCTCCTTTCTGTTAATCCATTGAATCATTCAACCGTCTACCCACCCATCCACCCACTCATTATCCATCTACCTAGCTCTTCGTTTCCTTATTAGTCCACGTAGCCATCTATCAGCTATCCCTCTGTTCATTATACATTTCACCAGCCCTTCATCAGTCTGTTCATTTATCTCATCATCTATTCATCCATCGACCTGTCCATCCATCCAGCCATCTATCTGTCAAGCTCTTCATCCAGCTACCCAGCATCTGTCTGTCTTCCTTCCTCTCATCCATCCATTCATCCATCTATCCACCCTCCCACCCATCTAGTTCTCCTGTCTGTCCAGCCATTCTCCTATCTGTCCATCCACACATCCATTCATCCATCCATCTATCAAATGTGTTCATCCATACACCTACCCATCCACCCTTTCTTCCTTCCATCCATCCACCCATCTACCCTCCCATCCATCCAGTCCATCTACGCATCCATTCACTAATCCATCCATTCCTCTATCCATCCACCCACCCAATCCACCATTCCTTTCATCCATCTACCCATCCACCCTCCCATCTATCCAATCCATCCATTCACCCACCCATCTATCCATCCATCCATTTATTCATTTACTCACCCAATTCACCCTTCCTTCCATTCATCTATCCACCCATCTACTCTCCCACCCAGCCAGTCCATCCATCCACCCATCAAATATGTTCATCCATTCATGACCCACCCAACCCACCCTTTCTTCCATCCATTCACCCATTCATTCTCACACCCATTCATCTATCCATTCATCCATCCATATTTCCAGCTCTCTACTCATTCACCATCCTCCTTCCCTGCCATCCATCCACCTGTCCAACCATCTGTCTATTCATTGGCCCCCATCCATCTTGTCAATGCTTCAGACATGATGGGTGCTATGACAGTGAAATAGGTGAGGAAGGCTAGAGAATCAGAGGCCACACCAGGTAGTAAGATGAGAAGGTGACCCTAAGAATACCTGGAGAAAAGGTAACTGGGCTATGTGGTGCTGCGGGCAGTGCCCTGTGCTCACTTCACACGGATTTGTCTCCAGCTGCCAAGCACCCCGAGGAAGTGTGTGGGCCCACGCAGTTCCGCTGTGTCTCCACCAACATTTGCATCCCGGCCAGCTTCCACTGTGATGAGGAGAGCGACTGTCTTGACCGAAGTGATGAGTTTGGCTGTAGTGAGTAGGGAGCTGGGGGTGTAGTACTGAGTGGGTTCTTTTAACTGCTCTCTGCTCTCTATTCCCAGCCTCTACTGCCCAGGCCCTTCCTGCCCCACTCCCTTCCCAATTAAACACCTTGCTTTTGCTCTGCTGTCCCCAGTGCCTCCCCAGGTGGTAACCCCTCCCCAGGAGTCCATCCAGGCTTCCCGCGGCCAGACAGTGACCTTCACCTGTGTGGCCACTGGCGTCCCCATACCCATCATCAACTGGAGACTCAATTGGGGTCACATCCCTGTTCATCCCAGGTGCAACTCAGGGCCCAGGTGGGGGTGGCAAATGTGTGGAAAAAGCCGGGTCTGTGGCTCAGGCCTGACCCACTGTTGTTTTGGGGCCTACCAGGGTGACAATGACCAGTGAAGGTGGCCGTGGCACGCTGACCATCCGAGATGTCAAAGAGTCAGACCAAGGCGCTTATACCTGCGAGGCCATGAACGCACGTGGCATGGTGTTCGGCATTCCAGATGGCGTGCTAGAGCTCGTCCCCCAGCGAGGTGCAGTGGGAGAACGGATTCATGGCGGGTGCCAGGCACAGGTGCAGCAGGGTCTCCCGCTAGTGGCCAACTACAACTCCCTCCCCTGCCACCCAGCAGGCCCCTGCCCTGATGGGCACTTCTACCTAGAGGACAGTGCCTCCTGTCTGCCCTGCTTCTGCTTTGGTGTGACCAACATGTGCCAGAGCAGCCGGCGCTTCTGGGACCAGATCCAGTTGCGTTTTGACCGGCCTGGTGACTTCAAGGGTACGTGGATAGGTGGACTCCAGGCTCCTGGGATCTCAGAATAGAGATGTGGAAGGACAGGGGCTAAAGTGTAGGGAGGGACCCAGAAACACTGAGTTCTGCCAGAAAAGCCTTTCAGGAGAAATCATTTTTATGACAAACCTAATCCTTGCTTGACATTTTTCCTGCCTCAAAACATGGGACAGACTCTGAAGTTGGGGCCCTAGTTTGAACCCTGATCCTGATCTTTTCTGCCTGTATGCCCTTAACCATGTTATTACCTTGGGTTTCAGCTTGCCCATCTATAAAATAGAGGCTCAGCAAATTGGGTGTGGTGGTGCATGCCTGTAATCCCAGCTCTTGGGAGATGGAGACAGGAGGATCTGATATTCAAGGTCATCCTCAGCTACACAGAGAGTTTGAAGCTAGCCTACACTAAAGACTCTGTCTCAAACAAAACAAAACAGAACAAAACAAAAAACAGGGATATAACTAGGTTTGGTAGTACACATGTTTATTCATTTGGGACACCAAGGCAGGAGGATTGCAAGTTTAAGACAAGCCTGAGATATAGATATAGATATAAATAAATATATGTGTGTGTGTGTGTATATATATACGCACTCATATATATATACACACATATACATATATGTGTGTATATATATGGCAAGACCATCTCTAAAATATTTAAAGTAAAATAGAGAAGGCATTACTGCTTCTCCCAGGCTTTTGAAAGGACCTAACAGATTAAAGCATGGAAGCACTTCAGAGTAGCATATAGCCCATGGTCAGCGCCCAGTAAGAACTTGCTAATGTCATCCTTGTTCTGAGAGACAGAGGGAGGGGCTGCAGTTCCTGATGTATAAGAGTGTAAGAGCCCAGGTTTGGCCATCTTGCCAGCCTAGACTAATTTATTGCTGTTTTGGCTTATCCAGGCCTCTTCTCCCAAATGTAAAGACTATGATACTCTGCCCCCATGGCTCTGAGAGACAAAATGGAGGGCCACTAAGAGAATGCACTAAGGGTCAAATGAACCTGGGCTCACATCCCACCTGTAAGATGTCAGGTATCCTCCCATCTTACTGAGTTTCACTTCTTTTTCTATCATGAGCATTAACTGTGTCCTAGGGTCACTGCTTGTACAACAAGCCCCTATCATGTCCTCCACTGGTGGAGTGACCACAAAAGGTTGTGTATAAAACTTAGTTACTGGGGCTAGGGATGTAACTCAGTTGGTAGAGTTTTTGTGTAGCATGCACAAGGCCTTGGGTTTGACCCCTGGTACCACATAAAAGCCAGGCATTGAAACAGGAGGACCAGGAGTTCAATATTAGTCACCATTACACAAGCAGTTCCTAGGTTAGCCTGGACTACTACATGAGAGCCTGTCTCAAAAAAGCCTCAAACTTAATTACCTCCAACATCATCCTTCAGTATGTTTAGAATACCACTGGCCACTGTTTGCCAAACACAGAGTTGGTAGTACAGCTTCATGGATGGTCATTGAATGGTCAGAGCAGGTTACATCTTTCAGATGAGAGCTCTGTGGCTCTGGAGGTCATGGGGCCACACTGTTCCACCATTTCCAGAATCTGCATGGTTGGGTGGGTAAGGACCCCAGGGCAAGTTGGTGGCCTGTGTGAAGGTGACGATCTGAGTGGAGGGTCCTAGAAACATCTGCTGAAGAGAAGAGGAAAGGCTCCAGAAGCAGCCTAGACCTGGGGCTGAGTGAGTTAGGGCCCTTCTGTGGTCACAGGGGATCATGTTCAGGATCAAGGGGAGCATTTTGAGCACACAGACCCAAGTGGACTCAGTGTAAGGAAGATCATTATAAAAGTCAAAACTATCCAACATGTAAAAAAAGGCAGGGGTGGGGTGCTGGAGAGATGGTTCAGCGGTTAAGAACACTGGTTGTTCTTGCAGAAGACCTGAGTTCAAATCCCAGCACCCACATGGCAGCTAACATTTGTCCGTAACTCCAGTCCCAGGGCATCCGACAGCCTCTTCTGACTTCTGAGGGCATTGCATGACATGGGTGCGCTTACCTACATGCAGGCAATACACGCATACACATAAAATAAAAATAATAAAATTTTTCTTTAAAGTTTAAAAAAAAAAACCTATCCAGCCTGAGGAGAAATCCTGGAGATAATTTATTAAAGCCACATATCTAGTGGGGACTCAGTAGTCACTTGAGGTTATTGAAAACAAACTGGGTGTGGTGGCACATGCTTGTAATCCCAGCACTCGGGAGGCTGAGGCAGGAGGATGGTAAGTTTGAAGCCAGTCTCTCATCTACATGATGAAATCATGTCTCCAAAAAAAAAAAGCAAAAAGAGGACAGGACGGGGGAGTTGGCAAAGTGCTTGCCATGCAAGCATAAGGACCTGAGTTCGATTCTCCAACACCCTCATAAAAGCCAGATACAGCAGTGTGAACCTGTAATCTCAACCCTAGGGAGGCCGGATAGGAAGATCCTCAGGGTTCACTGTCTAGTCAGTCTAGCTGAACTGTTAAGCTCCAGGGTCAATGAGAGACTGTCTCAAAAAAATATGTGGAGGGCTGGTAGATGGCTCAGTGGGTGAAGGTACTTACCACCAAACCTGATAACCTGAGTTCAGCCTCCTTCACCCACGTGATGGAAGGAGAGAGCTAGTTCCTGAAAGTTGTCTACTGACCTCTACACTCATGCTATGACATATGTACACATACACTCGTAAATAAATGTAATTTTCAAAAAGAAGGTGATGGTGATTGAGGAAAACACCCAGTGTCAACGTCTGACCTCCACAGGCACATACTCCACACACAAAAAGCAAGGGTTGTATTGCCGCTAGTGGTAAGCAGGCATCATAGGGCAGAATACACAGGCACCCATCCTTCCCTATGCCACAGGAAGTGGTGCTGCCCTAGGGACTGGGAGGGTGCTGTTGGGGGAGTTCCTGTGGGAGTGACTGTGCATGTAGGGAGAGGACTGGACCAGTGATTCTTGAAAAAGCAACAAGAACTAGCCCTTTTTTGTGTGTCCCCCTCGTCTTTGAGTATTTTAAATCAATTTGCACATTTTATCTTTATAAGAACTCCATGAGTTGGGCCACAATGAGCACCATTTTACAGATAAGGAAACTGAGGCCTCTGTCCAAGACACCTGGAGCATGGTGTAACCAGGGCTAAGGCTCAGGTCTTCAGTCCTGTGTAGCTCTCTACTGACTCTAGAGGGCTGTTCCCAGCCTGACTGTCTAGGATGGCTCTGAGAAGTCCTGCTACACTGAGCTTCTTGACCCTTCTTCGACCCCATGGCTTCCAACATGGCTCCCAGTTGTCACTGTGCAATGCTGGTTTTTCGCTAGAGTATACACTGCTTTGTGGGGGAGGGGCTAAGGGGGAGGTTGGGAGGGGCTTGAGACAGGGTCTTCTGTAGCAAGGCTGTCCTCTAACTTGATATGTAGCTCAGGGCCTTGAATTCACGATCCTCCTTACTCTGCCCCCTGAGAGCTGGGATCATAGGTGTGCACCACCACACCAGGCCAGATTTCCATGCTTAACTTCAGGAGAGGCCACGGTTTCCTCTCAATCACATTCCCCACCTTCGGCCCCCCCCCCCCACCGTGCCTTCCCACATTCCTGTGTCCTGGCTCTCTTGAGTGTTCTCAGGTGGGCGTGGGCAATGGTCCTCACCCTCTCATTTGCCTCTGCAGGCGTGAATGTGACAATGCCCTCACAGCCTGGAGTGCCACCCCTGTCCTCCACCCAGCTGCAGATTGACACGGCCCTGCAGGAGTTCCAGCTGGTCGACCTGTCTCGCCGCTTCCTCATCCACGACTCTTTCTGGGCCCTGCCCAAGAAGTTTCTGGGCAACAAAGTAAGGAGAGCCACCCTAGTGAAAAGAGGCAGAGCCCCGTCTGTATGCTGAGGTCTCTTCTCACTCTGAAGCATGTGGCCCAGGGCAGCTGCTGCTCTGGGAAGATGTCCCCAGCAGCTCCTTCCTACAAGGTGGAGCCTGTTGGCGCTGGCTGATCTTCTCCCACTTTGGAAAGAGCAGGCATCACCTTCCCCAGAGAGCCTTCCTTGACCACCGCCACTCTGGGTTGGGTAATACTCCAATGCTAGCCTCCCTTTGGGCACAAATTATACTCTGCTGTGAACTGGGCCCAGTTCCAGTTCAGTGCCAGGCACTCCATAGCCTCAGGTGGGCAAAATGAAGGGGGATTAAAGGATGAAATGCAACTTTTTGAAGATGACTGCCTGCTATGATCCCCTGTCCCTGCCAGGTGGACTCCTATGGTGGCTTCCTACGCTACAAGGTGCGCTACGAGCTCGCACGAGGCATGCTGGAGCCAGTGCAGAAACCTGATGTGCTCCTCGTGGGTTCGGGATACCACCTCCTCTCCCGAGGCCACACACCCACCCATCCTGGAACTCTAAACCAGCGCCAGGTCCAGCTCTCAGAGGTGGGTGCAGTCATAGTGGCAAGGACCAGTGGAGTTAGGGGCAAAATGATACAGGTGTTAACATGCGACACACCCTTGTCCCCTCCAGGAGCACTGGGTACATGAATCTGGCCGACCAGTGCAGCGGGCAGAGATGCTGCAAGTGCTAGCTAGCCTAGAAGCTGTGCTGCTGCAGACTGTATACAACACCAAGATGGCCAGTGTGGGGCTAAGTGATGTTATCATGGACACCACCGTCACCCATACCACCAACCACGGCCGTGCTCACAGTGTGGAGGAGTGCAGGTGCCCATCCCACCCAGCAAGGCTATGGACTATGGAGACCCAGGCCAGGGTAGAGGGGAAACAACAAGGGTGTGCAATTCCTGTAGTCAATCTCGGTCCTATCCTCACAGATGCCCTATTGGCTATTCTGGTTTGTCCTGTGAGAGCTGTGATGCCCACTTCACCCGGATGCCTGGTGGGCCCTACCTGGGCACCTGCTCTGGCTGTAATTGTAATGGCCATGCCAGCTCCTGTGACCCTGTGTATGGCCACTGTCTGGTGAGTAGTACAAGCTACCACTTGAATGTTAGATAGGGGTGAGACTCCCCTTTGCCCACGAACTTTGCACAACCTCTCAAGTGACTTACATGGTTCCAGATGAACTACTGTGACCACTGGATGCATTATCAGAGATACCATGTCCAAATAAAGGAGGTGAAGGTCTCTGTCCCCCAGAGTGCTGTGAGAAGCATGGCCTATATGTCACACTTTATCTTTTGGGAATATTGGTGAGATATAGGATTGTGGAGCTGGCCAAAGAAAAGGCACAGGGGGCTGGAGAGATGGCTCAGCAGTTAAGAACATTGACTGTTCTTGCAGAAGACCCGGGTTCAAATCCCAGCACCCACATGACAGCTAACAACTGTCCATAACTCCAGTTCTAGGAGATCGACAGCCTCTTCTGTCCTCTGAGGGCATTGCACGATATGGGTGCACTTACCTACATGCAGGCAATACACACATACACATAAAATAAAAATAATAAATAAAATATATTTTTAAAAAAGAAAGAAAAAAGGCACAAACTGGACAGAGCTGCTGTCCCCAGATCCTCAAGCAGCTAGCTGTCCCATGGTGACAGGGGGCACCTGGGTAGAGGTGGCCCTGGGTGCATCCTGGGAGAGTTTGGTGGGTTTTGTTATGAATCAAGCAGACACTTGGAACCATTTGTGGACTGGCTGCCATTGCCAGGGGAGGCAGTTAGTTGCTCCCATTTGCAAAGCTGTGGAATATTCTAGAGCCCATCTGGTCCAGTTCTTTAGGATCTGAGCCACTCCCTCCCTGCCTTCCCTCCTCCCAGAACTGCCAGCACAACACAGAAGGACCTCAGTGTAACAAGTGCAAGGCTGGCTTCTTTGGTGATGCCACAAAAGCCACAGCCACTGCCTGCCGGCCCTGCCCCTGCCCATACATCGATGCCTCCCGCAGGTCAGACCCCACTCAGGGTGGGGCGGTGCCTCAGGTGGGGACGTGCTCTGTCAGGCAAGTAGGGGACCCATGTGGAGTCAGTCCTGACCAGCCCACTAAATTATCTTGTGTTCTTAACCTCTCAGACTGTTTCCCTTTTGGTATAACAGATCCATCTGCCTTCCTACAGCTGCTATGAGGCCACAGACAAGAGCAGGGGCCAGGAGATGGCATCATGCCTCTGCATGTCTGTGGGGACAGAAGTCATTTCCTGGGACAGGCTTGTCAGGCCTGGCCCCCTGATCTGTCCTTCTACCCTGCCCACTTTGATACCCACAGATTCTCAGACACTTGCTTTCTGGACACGGATGGCCAAGCCACCTGCGATGCATGTGCCCCAGGCTACACAGGCCGTCGCTGTGAGAGGTGAGGGAGAGCCAGCGGGGCCTAGGGGATCCTGGCTGGGGCATGGAATGGCTGCTGACAGTACTCTCTTTCCCAGCTGTGCCCCCGGATATGAAGGCAACCCCATCCAGCCAAGCGGGAAGTGTAGGCCAACCAGTAAGTACCAGGGCCACCTCCTCTTGCAGGGGTAGGCACCTCTCTTCCTTCCCAGCCCACACCCAGCGTCCCTGGGAAGCCACTCCATTCTCTGTCCCATCTGTCCTATCAGTGTCCTCCTTCTACCTCCAGACCAGGAAATCGTGCGCTGTGACGAGCGGGGCAGCCTGGGCGCTGCAGGAGAGGCTTGCCGCTGTAAGGTATGTGTGTTATCCCCATTTACCCCAAGACCTTGGGTCTGGTGGCACCACTGTGAGCAAAGGAGGAAGGAGGCCCTACCGTCTCCTACTGCCTTGGTCAGTGGGCAGTGGCCTTGCCTGAGGCCCATGGGCCTGGTTGACTGATCTTATTCATCAAGAGGAGTGGCCTGGCCTTGGGTGGGAGCACTGGTTAAGGAGTCAGCTGCCCTGAGTTCAAGTACCAGCTGTGCTTTAGTAGTGGTTGTCTGTGTACTGAGCTCATGTTGACATCATATCAATAGTGGGAGAATCAGATGTCAGTGGAGAAAAGAACCAGGCAGGTTTTGCAGTCAGGCACTCCTGATCTTAAATCTCAGTGTAGCTAAGTGTCCTGAGTGACCCTGTGTATCTTTTTATATCCCTGAACCTCACTGTCTTCATTAAGAAGGATGGGGTGATCTCTGCCTCCCTCTGAAAGCTCCAATGGGAGTGAAGTGAGGTGGCTGCAGGGCAACTAACACTTGCATGAAGTTCTCCATAAGTTGTAGCTGTAATTATTTCAGTCAAGTTGCTTTATTTCAAATCTATACCTAGTTATGAGCCCCCTAGCAGTTGAAGAGAAAAGGGAGAACTGGTTCTATAAGCAGCCGTGATCTGGCAGTGACTATTGTGACAAGGGCAGTGCCTCACACACATGCACTTTACAAGACACTCTGGAGCCCATCTAGGCTATGGGTGGAGTCATCTAGACTATGGGTGGTGGCAGCTCCAGGTGGCCCCTCTCGAGACATCCTACAGCTCCCAACTCTGTCCACAGAACAATGTGGTGGGGCGCTTGTGCAACGAGTGCACGGATGGCTCTTTCCACCTGAGCACGCAGAATTCCGACGGCTGCCTCAAGTGCTTCTGCATGGGAGTCAGTCGCCAATGCAGCAGCTCTTCCTGGAGCCGTGCCCAGGTACCCACAGGTGGCAGGTGGGTGGGATGGCCATGCCTGGGGCTGGAGGGATGAAAAGTGGGTCCCCCCACACCACCACCACCCCATACCAGTGTTCTCCATTTCCAGGTGCTTGGGGCCTCTGAACAGCCCACCCAGTTCAGTCTGACCAATGCTGCAGGCACCCACACCACCAGTGAGGGCATCTCGTCCCCTGCGCCCGGGGAGTTGCTCTTCTCCTCTTTCCACAGCCTCCTGTCAGGTCCCTACTTCTGGAATCTTCCCTCCAGCTTCCGGGGTGACAAGGTAGGTGGGGCAGAGGAACAGCACCGGCAGGGGCTTGGAGGTGGGAGTGTCTTGGGCCTTGGAAGAACAGAGATACCATGGCTGGTGCAGCGACAGCCCTCACAGATGCCTCAACTGTGTCTCAGGTGACCTCCTATGGAGGAGAGCTGCGCTTCACTGTGACCCAGTGGCCTCGACCCAGCTCTGCACCCTTGCATGGGCAGCCATTGGTGGTACTGCAGGGCAATGGCATTGTTCTGGAGCACCATGCTTCAAGGGAGCCCAGCCCTGGCCAGCCCAGAGATTTCACTGTGCCCTTCCGAGAGGTAAGCTCCATCTCAGGCCTTCTTGCTCCTCGCTCTTGAGGCTTTGGTACCCAGGATGGCAAAGATAAGCCATTTATTTCCTTGGCAGCAAGCATGGCAGAGGCCTGATGGGCAGCCAGCCACACGGGAGCACCTGCTGATGGCGCTGGCAGGCATCGATGCCCTCCTCATCCAAGCATCCTTCACCCAGCAGCCAGCTGAGAGCAGGTGTCTGGGGCTGGGACAGAGCAGAGGGGGCTCCAGGCTTGGCAGAAGCATGGCATAGCCCATCACACTCCATCTGTAGACTGGACAGCATACTGCTGCCTCCCTCCCAGGCTCTTAAGAAGAAAAGCAGGGACCCGGTAGGGATGTGGCCTCTGTCAGGTCTTCTGCCCTCTGCCTACTGTGAGCTCTGGCGAGGAAACTACCTGCAGAAGTCTTCCTGTGTGAACTAGAAGCTGGAGGTGTCTCTTGTATCTGGGGATCTGGGTGGTTTGCCGTGTCCCAGGGAGGAGGGGTGGAGGATGATAGCTCTTTGGAAGAAGTTATGGGTATGAACTATCTGCTTCAGCTCATGAGGCTGCTTGGGAATGAAGCCACAGTATGATGCTAGAGGTATCAAAACTAGTGAGGTAATGGAGCCTAAGTCTCTAGGCATGCCTCACACAGAGTGAGCACCCCTTCACCATGAGCCTCATCCTATCCAGGGTCTCTGGCATCAGCATGGACATGGCTGTGCCTGAGAACACTGGCCAGGACCTGGCGCTGGAGGTGGAGCAGTGTACTTGCCCACCTGGGTATCGTGGCCCTTCCTGTCAGGTGAGCCTGCCCCCCCAATCCAGCCAGAACTCTCCAGTGTGCCCTAGCCCTTCTTCCTTTGGCTCTCTCCATATCCTCATTGCCTTCTGCCGTCTTTTTACCCCCAGGACTGTGACACAGGATATACACGCATGCCCAGTGGCCTCTACCTGGGCACCTGTGAGCACTGCAGTTGCCATGGCCACTCGGAGGTCTGTGAGCCTGAGGCAGGTGCTTGCCAGGTGAGCCCTGCCTCTTTATTCTCCACCCCCAGAGAGCCCTGGTTTCTGGGGACCCAGCCTCATCCCACCTCTTTCGCTCTAGGGCTGCCAGCATCACACAGAAGGTACTCACTGTGAGCAGTGCCAGCCAGGGTACTATGGAGATGCTCAGCGAGGCACGCCACAGGACTGCCAGCCCTGCCCATGCTACGGAGCCCCGGCTGCCAACCAGTGTGTCTGGGCCCCACTGTTCCCTGAAATGCCCACTGCCCCCCTCCACCTTTTCTACCCAGCCCTTAGAAAAGGCAGCAGTTAAATCCTATTTTGCTGTCTCCTCAGAGTGTCACTGGGGAGAGACACTCTTGTTTCCAGAGCCTCAGTTTCCTAAGTAGGGATGGTGTACTCACTTTAGCCCCTGAGTAGAACTAAGTGAGGTAGTGGGAAAGGAACTCTTGGCATAGGCTCCTCCCCAACTCCTCCATGGTCTTCTAGGGAAGGGTTCAGGGGGAGCAGTCAGTGAGTGCCTTACTGACTTGACCCTTACCCTGAACCCTCTCAGGGCCTCTCACACTTGCTTCCTGGACACAGATGGCCACCCAACCTGTGACTCATGCTCCCCAGGCCACAGCGGGCGGCACTGTGAGAGGTGAGGTGAATGATGGGGAGGGCAGCTGGGAGGAGCTACCTGAGAGTTCTCAGTGAGTCCTCTGTGACCCCTACCTTCTTTTTTCTTTTTTTTTTTTAATTTAATAACCACATACTTAGAAGAAGCATCTCATTACAACAGCATTGACGTATTCAATAACAATTTCCAGAGCTAAGATGCATCTCTTTCAAAATTAGCTGTAAATTTTTAGGCTTACAGTTGAATTATTACAGTTATGCAATATTGTACTCAGTATAAACCCTATAAGACATAAAATTAAATCAG